CCTTCTCCCTTGTCCTAAATACCCTGAGACTCATTTGCATGCTGAAGTTGGACAATCTACTTGTCTTAACTTCAGGAAATGACAGATACATTCATTGATTCATGGCATCTCCAAGAAATAAAACATGAGAGTTTGCATCAATCTATATATAGTTTTTAAATATTTTGAATTTTTTTAGTATTCATCAATTACAGGTAAGTTAAATATTTCCTTTTTTCTGCAGGTACAAATACTTACTACATCAGGTCCATGAAACAAAAAATAGTTTTCCAGCCTCTATTACGTCTATGCAATATAAGGATGATAAAGCTCAGGTGATTTACACACAATGAAACCAGCATGGAGGGACACAATTCCAGGATTCCCTGAGAGCCCCTGTTTCATTTATCAGGCTGGTGATTGCAAAGCAGGCTTCAAAGTGCTGTGGTTTGAACAGCTAATGGGCTTCTGCAGAGGTGCAGACGTGCAGGCTGTTCAACAAAAGAATTATCTCGTTCAGGGAGAAGGGCTTGTGTCTGCTCTCTGTTGCCCTGTGCAGTTCACAGGGCCACAGAATGAGTCCGGATCAGGGATTGCCCCACAATTCCACAATGAAACACCTTACTTTTTTTTTTATTATCTCTGCATGTTCCCTGTCGAGGTCCTGAAAATCTTCTTCCAAGATCTTCTTCTCAATGGCAAGTTGAGTTTTTTTTTCTTCATCAAGCTGCTTCTCCTTGTCCCGCACTGCTTTGAGCAGTATGTCCCTGCATTCCTTCTGCTGATGTTGCTTCTTCCTCTCAAGTTCTTCATTTTCTTTCATGAGCTGATGCAGCTCTTCTGCCTACAAGAATAAAAGTAGCCAGCTTGTAAAATCACTGAATAACTTCAAACTAAGTCGTGGCTAGAGTTAGTTTATTGCAACATTGAAGAGCAAAGCCTTGCTGGCAACACAGAATTAGTGTCATCCACTAGACCTGGTAAAGCCTGAACATTTTAGCATGTCATTCATTAGAATTCAGGATTTTTATCTGTAATTATCACATGCACTTCAGTACAAAAAACTGTATTGTGGCTGGTGTTTTCCAAATGTTTCAGGCAGATAGACAGAGTCATCTCCTTAGGGAAATCAGAATCATTGCAGCACTTTTGATCTATATCCAAGAGTTCATACACAGCCATAAGCACTGACAAATAACAGGACCATGTGTTCTGCTGTTTCTGTAGATATTATCTGTCCTGTGCCTGTGTTGGGTGCTCAGAGCACTGCATCTCTACCGGCCACAAGGCTACACCAAGTCAGTGACTGGATCCTTATATTCTGATGGGCACTTAATGAATTTCCATGGTTTCAAATCAACCCACTTCAAACTGGAAAGAACTTTATATTCCACTTTATATTAGAAAAATGTACAGTGAAACTGAGTTCTTAAAAGAGAAACAATGACAAATGGGAAATGCGTCCTTGAGATCAAATAGGTATGTGTATATTCAAGATCATTTAGCTCCAAAAAAATCCAAAAGTAGCATCATTAAGTAATTTCTAAGCATAATTTCTGGACATCTTAAAAATGAGCAAGTGCACTGAAACACAGTCATAACACAGTATGTGACCATCAGCAGCATTGTATTATCTCAGAAATCATGCTTCAGCTGTCTTGAAGGCACACAGGTTTTGTTAACATTTTTTTTAAATTAAATGTCTCTTTTGTAATGTGAATGAGTCTTTTAAAATGCCTCAGCAGGTTTGTCATAGACAGCATGTCTAATCTTCCCCGTAAGGAAGCAGAAGCTGCACTCCCTAAAGAACATCCCTATTTATGCTGGACATAAAGCACCCACGGGTTTTTGCAGTATTTCAGAGCCAAAGCTGACTTTGTATCTGTCTGAACTGTCAAATTCACTTTCAGAAGCTGGTAAAACAGCTTTGAAACTCAATATATATGTAATTTGAGGAACAGAATTAGTAATCCAAAAAGCTTTGAACAGCAAAGGTGGAAAGAAAGCAGAAACAGTTAGCAGTCTGCTGTGCAAGTCGGCACATGTTGTTGGATGAATTCTGACTTCAGTGAAGCTGTGTGAGAGCAGCCAAGGATGGGATCCATCAAAGTTTGTTCATTGGGATAACACAACGTCACAAATGTACAAAGAAGTGGTTACCAACCACTCTTCTGCAAGCCAGGACCAAAATGCTATGGCAGAAACTCATGAAACTACAGTCAGGATAACATGAAGTCAATCACTTTCCAAGAAATCACAATTCTTAAAGGGAAAAATAAGACAGAGGAGGGCAGCTAATATAGGTAATGTAGCTAAAGCAAAAATTGCTGTCTCTGCTTTGTCAACCACTTCTGAGATATCCTGGTGCATGCATGTGGTCTGCCATGCCAAAGGTGTGAGTTTTCCTTAACTAAATATTCTATTTTCATTGCAACAACCTTTATGCACACTTAGCTGTCCATTCACCCAGATGAATCTCCTGGTCATTAGGGGCTACCAGTGTGCAATGAAAACCTTGTAATGAGGCCATCTGCCACATGCCTCTTTGCTGAGAACGGATTACATCCCATTTTCCACACTGAAACTCTCCTTCAAACAAAGGTTGGGGTTTTTTTCAGAGACTCAACTACTTCACCAGAAATGTATCTCCTTGACAGAGCCCCAGGCTGCTGTCTCCAGAGGAAGATGCAGAGTCTTCTATTCTAATAGTGCTTTTCTGAAAAGTTCTGAAACCAGTCAAGGAGCAGCATTTTTTCCCTGGGAGGTTTGGCAGTGCCTTAGAAGTTGCTACAAGAAAATAATCCTGTTATGCATGTTTTTAAATAAGCAAAACATTAGTCTAGATTGGAATAAGGACTCTATGGTTTCACAGCCAGCATTTTCAGAGCTTTAGATCTCTTATTGTCTCACTTTTATAATATGGGGGAGTAATATATGATAGTAGCACCAGCTTCCAGTGTCTAACAGAGTATCCTGAGTGATCATTCAGCCTCTACATGTAAACACTGCAAAATGAAGACTGAGTCTGAGCCAAATAGCCTCCCATCATTCAATGTCAACACAGAATACTGAACTACCAAGCCAGCAGAACTGCAGCAAGAGAGAAAGAAAACGACGATGAAAAAAGAGAGAAGTGGCCAAGCAGTTAGGCCAAGGTAGCCAAAATGCCTCCTGTGATGTGAGCTCAACAGGTGAGAGAGCTTAGCTGCCGCTTGCTAATTTGTTTAAAATAAATATACAAAATAAATATTTCAGCTGGGAAACAAGACTCCCCTGCTATCCTGCAGGAAACCAGAAATCAAAACACTACAGAGGTATTTGGGAAAAGTTTAAGAATGTTTATATTTCCCACAACCGCTCTGAGAGACTGAGTGCCAAAACCCTTTAGAGTGCCGAGCTCCCAGCAGAAGATGCATTTCCCTCTGAAAACGGGAATACCTTTGCCACAGCTCTGGAAAAGAGGCTTAGCGTAACAGCCCAGGCTCAGATACTAATGGAATCAGTGAAGATACAAATAAGGTATGGATTAGTCTAAATGTCTAGTAAGCCCGTCATTAGAAGGGCCTTCTGCACAAGCCTGAATGCAGAACACTGTGGCAATTACCAGCCGTTCAGCCTCCTTTCTGATCTGCTGCTGCTTCTCCTCTCTGCGAGCGGTGTGCACGGCCAGCTGGGCTTCCCGCACGTTCACCATTTCCTGGATCCGCGCTGCCACCTCCTGCGCCTTCAGCTCCGCTTCCTGATCCTTAGCCAGCTGCTCCTTCTCACAAATCTCTTCCAGCTTCTGCTCCTGCATCTCCTCTTCCTCTCTCAGTATCTTCCTTAGAGTCTGCTGGGCCAGCTGGCAGTCACCCAGTTCCTTCTCGCTCAGTTTTTTACAGTGTATGCGATACTCCTCACATTGGTTTCTGGAAGGCAAGGTAGAAGTGGGGGTTTTTTTAAATCTCAAAACAATAAGCAGGTCTAAAGGTGTGCGGTGAATGAAGGCTCCCAGCTCATCACTGCTCAAAACACAGCAACCCAGATGCCAAGTTATACCCCTGGTCTGACACTGATTCCTCATGGAACCCAAGGATCCATGGAGAGCCTGATTTGATGGAGGTTTTGACATCAATGAGCTGAAGGATTTGAATTTGTAAAAAAAGCCTAAATCAACTTCCTCACGATAGGAAGTGAAGGGGCAGCAGCGATCTCTGCTCCCTGTGACAGGGACAGCACCCAGGGGACGGCTGGAGCTGTGCCAGGGAGGTTTAGGTGGGATATCAGGGAAAGGTTCTTCCCCCAGAGGGTTCAGGCACTGCCCAGGGAATTCCCCAGGGAATGGGCACAGCCCCGAGGCTGCCAGAGCTCCAGGAGAGTTTGGACACTGCTCCCAGGGATGCACAGGGTGGGACTGTTGAGGAGCTGGGCTGGATGATCCCTGTGGGTCCCTTCCAACTTGGGAATATTCCGTGAGTGTAAATGAGTAAATGAACACACAATACATCCACACATTATATACACAATGTGTACTCCGCATGGAGCTGGAACATGGGGGCAGTTGTGTGCATGTATACCTTTTATTAACATATAAAACACATGCATGCTACACTTATTCAAACATGTAGGTTGGTCTCTATTCAAATGAAGACTTAGAATAGGTTTGTAAGTCACCTGAAAGCTCATTCATATTCAGAAAATATTGTGACTGTAGAAATGTGGGTTACATGGTTGAGCAGGAACCACTAGGAATTTATTAATTTTTTAAGTCAAGATCTGTGGGATAATTCAGACAAGTTGCAATAAAAGCCCAGAGAAGGTAGAAAGTCAAACAAGTAATGCAGCTTTCAATTTTCCTTTACTCTCTGCAACTGAGTTGGATATAAAGAGGTAATTTATCTTCAGTTGAAGAGCACTGAACTAATTGCAGATTCTGCTTTTACTTTTGCAAACAAAGCACTATTGAGATCAACACATGCCATCAAACATTATTTAATTTGAACAATCTGCAAGCATTTTAATTCTGTTCCATAAACAGGATATAGATTTTCATGAAATCAGAATGTGAAACTGGCAGACAAGGATGAAGACCTGCCAGTGTGAAGGATCTAAAAGCTCTGAGGATGTGAATGCTGTGAAGTGAAAAGATATCTCACGATTTTATGCTGAATGAAACCATCTTCTACAAATTACTGCAAAGGTATTTAGGAATTCACAGAAGACATCATAGCCTGAATCATGAACAGCTTCATGGCAGCAGTAGTTACCTGCACAATGTGAAATACTGACACTACACAAGCTTTAGCTGACTATCCTATGTAACAAAAATATTAAATATTCAGCAGGATACTACCTCAATGCTATTACCAATCTCCATATCAGAGTAGTTATTTAATTTTCAGAGCAGAGGTCTTACCAAATTTTCTCCCTGTTGACATTCAACAGTTGCTGCCTCACATTTCACTGGGACAAGGGCATCTCTCTGCTCATGCTCTTGGCTAAAGCACCCAGTGCCATGAAGTCTGTGCTGAAAGGTGAAGGGCACTAAACACAGACAGTGAAAGGGACAGCACTGCTGTGGAAACATTTCCATTCTGGTTGGTATTTACTGAACCTGTCCCAGCCTGAACCCCCCTGCCCTGGGCTGATCCCCCAGCGTGGGCAGCAGGGCAGGGGGGATTGTGCCCCTGTGCCCCTGTGCTCAGGTGAGAGCCCACCTGCAGAGCTGCCTCCAGCCCTGGGCTCCAACAGCACAAGGACGTGCAGCTGCTGGAGCCAGCCCAGAGGAGGCCACGGAGATGCTGCAGGGCTGGAGCCCCTCTGCTCTGGAGCCAGCCTGGCACAGCTGGGGCTGCTCACCTGCACAAGAGAAGGCTCCAGGGAGAGCTCAGAGCCCCTGCCAGGGCCTGAAGGGGCTCCAGGAGAGCTGCAGAGGGACTGGGGACAAGGCAGGCAGGGACAGCACACAGGCAATGGCTTCCAGTGCCAGAGGGCAGGGCTGGATGGGATCTTGGGAAGGAATTGCTGGCTGGGAGGGTGGGCAGGCCCTGGCACAGGGTGCCCAGAGCAGCTGTGGCTGCCCCTGGATCCCTGGCAGTGTCCAAGGCCAGGTTGGACAGGGCTTGGAGCAGCCTGGGACAGTGGAAGGTGTCCCTGTCCGTGATAAAGATGATTTTGAAGGCCCCTCCCAACCCAAACCATTCCATGATAAGATGCTGTAGTTCAGTGCCAGTGTGGGCTGGTGAAAAGGGATGGCTGTTCTACCTCTTGGGCAAGACAGGAACCTCCTGACCACTGTTCAACCCAGCAATAAAAGCAGAGAGCAGCACAGGGATGTGCATGCCATGAGCTATGGCACATTCCAAGGTGTGCCCCTGCCTCCCAGCAGGTCAACAAACGTACTCTGTCATTGATGGTTTTCTTATGTTTTACCACTGGAATCTATCTTTCGTCCCCTGGGTGGGAGTTAGTGATGATTAAAGGCCACAGCACTAATTAGTATTCATGAAAAACATATTTCTCAAATGTTGTGAGGGAAACACACTATTATTAAGATTTGAAATCTTACACCATTAGCAATAACTGTATTACCTTAACACAATGGGTTCAAAGTTCTCTCAGCATTGAAGGAATAAAGAACTAGTTATTCTTTTCTGTGATTATAAACCAATCTGATATTTATTGAACTCCCAGCGGGAAGCAGAAGTTAATTATGTTCAGCATTGTTAGAATTTTAATATAAAGTAACCCTGTAATTGCTTGATTTCATCAAAATAATTCCCTCAAAGCAGCTTGTACAGTGACACATAAACATCTGCTCCCCCAGACGGCAGGTTTTCTTCCTCCCTCTGCTAGCCTAAGCTTCTTAACATTAAAACAGTGCCTGGATGTGGCTACTTCCCAAAGACAGAACCTCCCCAGTTATTCATTCATTTTATGACTGCAGCACGATGTTGCTGGGATAACAACATTCCCCATATGGATGCTTCTGATGTTACCACAAGAAAGAGGATCTGATATGTGTTTCATGCAAATTTTGAGACATTGCAGTTTTCTTTAAAGTTACCAATGATGAACATGCCCTCAGGCTAGCACTGGCTGAGTCTGTTCTCAGACAAGAGGTAGCCCTCCCTGAAAATGAATTCCAGCAGGACTCCCGTGGTCCAAGCCTTGTCCCCTCTGTCACCTTGTGACAAAGGACTCCTCCTGGTTAACATTGCTACTGAGAAGCCGTTACACCTGAACCCTCAGGCCATGGCAACCAACCCACAGATAAAAATTATAAAAATGCTGCCTTTTAGTGCTCTGGAATAATGTCTGACAGTGTAGGTGCTCCTGTACCTCAAGGTTTGACAATCCATGCCTGCAAAAGAGCAGAGCACCTCGCTTGGAGAATTAAAGGAAATACCAACAAGTCTGTATTAGGTTTCAGAAAGATATTCAAAAGACTTGTAAATACACAGGAAAAAAGAAACAGAAAATTATGTGTATATCCACCTGCTACTGGATTGACTTGCCTGGGCTGCTGGGTGTGCCCTGGAGTAATGATCTCCAAAGTAGGGGGTGTGCAGGAACAGAATATGTTTTGTACCATTGATAAATAACATTAAAAAGTAAAAATAGCATTTCTTTCATCTTTACCTCGTCCTTTTTAATTTCATATTTGTGCATATGTTTTATAATGCATACAGTATACCAGCACGGTGTGTGTGTGTGTGTATATATATATATATATATATATATATATATATATTTGATAAATAAACCAACTGGGGTGAGTGTTAAAAGTTTTTACAGCTAGGAGGGTGCAGTCAGAGGATTGGAGGGCATTGCCCCAGAGGACAGGCTGTGACACAATTACAGACTCCTGGTTTGGAGTGGATTTTCAGTAAGTGTTGGTCTCCTGAACAGCAAATCCTGCTCCCAGATCTCTGCCTGGGCCAGGATGGTTTAGGAGGAAGAGTAACATCTAACAGCAAGAGAAAAACAGACCTGGGGCTACTTAAACAAGACAAATACATGCAGATTGAAATATCAGAACCTCATCAGAATGAGTTGCCACAGCAGAGACTTCTTTTCTCACTGGAAAAGGACAGAGAACAAAAGACTAAAATATAACTAAGTATATCCATGTCACACAACTTTTGTCAGCTGGTGTTTATCTGAGTTCTGTTCTTTAATAGGAACCTTAATTTAAAAGTAGATGGGACACAGCTAGAGGAACTAACCACGGAATGCATTCCCATTACATTAGGACAGTCAAAGAGAAGGACTCTGCCCTGTAGGAGGAAGATTTATTTGCGAAGATATCCCAAGACTGCCACTCACAACAGCTGTGAAGAGAGGTGGTTTCACAGCCTCTATATCCTCTGGAAACATGCAGCCAGCAGAACACCAACGGTAACAAAGCTTCAGCAACACTTGTTAGCAGGATGTTGTGCGGTGTCAATATTGCTTAGATCCCAGAGCAGAGTGGGAAAGCTAAAAGGATAATAACAGGATGAAATAATCCCACGAGACTGAGCGAACCACAGATCAACAGGGCTACACTGGGAAGACAAAGGACCTGAGACATTAAAACAGGCAACTACAGCATGAAAGTTCAAGTGTGTGTCACCAGGTGATGCAGTTCGGTGGCGTGATTCATTTTGCAATTAAAATATCTAAAACTGGACATCTAAACAGGAATCTGCATATGTGCTAAATTCCCACTCTGATCAATGAGAACCTAATTAAAGTCAGTAGAGGCTGGGGTGCAGTCTAACTGACAGGGCAGGATAAGCCTGCTTGAGACAGACTTTTGGTTCCTGTAACTGTCCTGATTTCAGTGAAGTTTTAAATAGAGCAGGAATGCAGATTCCCAGGGAATATAAAGATACCAACACTTAGACACCTACCTTTAGGTGTCCACATAATATCTTCTTGGTGTGTAAAACAAGCTACAATCACAAAATAAAAGGCATGCCAGCAGCACCCCCTCCAAACGATTTTGAAAGTGAGTTTCAACCACTTTGTGTTATAGAGAACAAACCAGAAGCTGCAGAAGGCAACGGCCACATTTTCAAACCACCATGTGAAATTAGGCAGTATATGCACTTCTAACACCTGTCTAAGTCAATAAACCCCACATTTAAACAAACATTTACCTGCCTGTAATACATACAATACCTGTGGAATTAGTTAATTAGAGTTTATGTGCAAGTGAGAGTGAATGTTGATTTTTATCCCAGCCTGTGAACATTGAGAAGCAGGTGTTGTAGATTTCACAGTACTGTGGGAGACTGAGAAAGACACTTCAAATTATCACAGTTATATAATATTACTATTTCTTTCATCCCTCCCTCGAAAAACCAGATTTCCAAGAAAGGGACAAGGCAGGTTTCATGCCAAGTCAGGAAGACTGGGCACAGAAATTCAGGCTGCATTAAAACCTTAGCTGCAGCTGCTACTCTTGAAAAGTATGCAATAAATAAAAACACTGTCTTGTTGGACAATCTTAACATTTTGGGAATCTATGCTGTATTAGCTCAGTAATAAGTATTAATATAAGTATTAAAATAAGTATTAGTATTAGTTAACTTAGTATAAGCTTGATTTATTAACCAAATTAACCTTCCATGCACCCTCTTCACTCCAACAGTATATAGCTGGGACAGGAATTACAAAAAGGGTTGACTTGGCAGGTGGAAACACAAGAATGCTCATAAGGGACAAGAAGGACACACTATACTTGCAAGAATTAACTACTTTGATTCTTTCTGTCTTACTTGTTTCAATCACTTTCATCTTCCCTTCCTCAGTTTATTATTGCCACCTTCTTTTTAAATTGTCCCTATATATTTACTTGAGCAAATTCTCTTTTATAAGAGAATTTTTATAATTCTCTTTTTTATTTTTATGGCAATACCTGAACTGTTGCTCTCGTTTTTCAGCCACCACTCGTAGTCTTTCTTGCTCTCTCTTCTCCCTCAGTAATTTTGCTTTCTCCTTCATCTTTACTTCTCTGTCCAGTGCCTTTTCTTCATCAAGTGCCTCCACCTCAGCAAAGTGCCTACTTTCCTCTGCCTCCAGAAAGTCACGAAGCCTGTAATGAAAACATTTGAATAAAGGCTAAATCAATCCTTCTGTTGAAGGACAAGGTTTTAGCTTATTTGTTATTAAAACAAAGTGGGTACTGGGCTCCTTTGAACACCTCTTGCAAAAGTCAGAGAAGTGAACATCAAATTTTAACTCGGGGATCATTCGTGTTGTGTCCATCGAGGGAATCTTACAGCACAGCAGGAGTATTTCTGTCCAGGCACACTTTAAACTCCTGATCTTACAAACCCACTTTCATAGCTGCTTTATGACTTCAGTTCCCCATTCATCAAATTCTTCTAATTCTCAGACCACATTTGTAACCAGCTGATAACAATTAGATTTTGTACTATTGTTATCCTTCAGCATAGACCCACAGAATATCCTAAACTGGAAGAGACCCACCAGGATAATCCAGTGCAGCTCCTGTCCCTGCACAGACACCCCAACAATCCCACCCTGAGCGGTGGTGTCCAAATGCTCCTGGAGCTCTGGCAGCCTCAGGGAGCTTGGTCACAACTCTCTGAGGGAAGAACCTTTTCCTGGTACTCTCTCTTCTCCGTGCATCTATAATTGCATCTTCTCTCAAACGACCTCTTGCTATTTTAGCATCACTGCACAAAACACTTCATCCTGAAACATCTTTGATGAGAAAACTATGTCAAACAGGCAGTTTTTAAACACACCATCATTTGCCCCTCTGTTAGTCTCAGCAGTGAGAAACCTGGGGCTACGGAATCCAGAAATCACCAACTTCAGCCCAAATGCCACAGTGTCTCAGCAGAAGGGGACCGGGGCGTCCCGGCAGACAGGCTGAGCACGGGCCAGCGATGCACCCTTGTGGCAAAGAAAGCCACTGGCACCTTGGGCTGCGGGAGGAGGAGCACTGCGAGCAGGTCCAGGGAGGGAATCCTTCCTCTGGGCAGGGCTGAGACCTCACACCCAGCGCTGGCCCCAGCTCTGGGCTCTGCAGCACCACAGGGAGACAGCCTTAGCAGAGGGACACTGAGGGACTGCAGCACCTCTCCCAGCAGGAGAATCTTTCCTGAAGTTCCTTCTCCCCTGAGAGAGCTAGGACTGTCCAGCCTGGAGAAGAGAAGGTGCAGAGGGATGTCACCAGTGCACATGAACTCCTGAAGGGAGGGAATGCAGAAAAGACAGACACCTACTCAGCAGTGCCCAGTGACAGGACTAGGGGCCACAAATTAAACCATGTGAAATTCCAAGCGAACTGAAGAAAACGTTCTGTTTTCTTTCTACTGTGAATGCAGTCAGATATTGGACAGCCTGCCCAAAGGGGTCATTCAGTCTCCATGTGTAGAGACAAGCAAAACCGAAATGGACACACACTCCTGGACACTCTGCTCTAGGTGACTCTAGGGTTGGACCAGATCATCTCAGGAGGTTCCTTCTGATCCCAGTGGTTCTGTGGAACCCATGTACAATTCCCCTGAAGGCACGTCAGACCAGGACACCAAACTGATGACCTTCGCAGCTACAAATTAACTGAGAAACTAAAATCACATTATTTTTTCCAAAGATCAGTACAGCACAATTCTGTTCTTTGCATGGCAGCAATGTGCTTCAGCTTTAATATTTTTGAAAGATTTCTGGAAAAATTTATTTTTTTCAGCTGACTGTGCTGCAAAGCGTTATTTGTAGGACCTATGTGGACACATACATTCACAGAGCTAGGGAATTACACCTTGGAAATTCTTTCCAGGCCTGAATTTCTCCTGTCTCTCAGCTCCATTCCCAGGCTGACAAGCTGACTGCAGCTTCAGTTAGGGAAGAAGTCTCCCAGGGTGATAAAATGGTGAAAAACAGAATGGAATTCATAATAAAGATTAACACCTGGTGTCTTTCCCGTGGGATCCATCCTGAGGTGCTGTCCCAGGAATGTTTTTCCCAGTTGTCCAATGAACTACTGTCCTGTCCTAGCTGCACATAACACACTTTAAATCCGGGCTGTCTGTACAAGAAATTGGCCTTTTTTCCCCAAAGAGCTCCGTGTGTGCTGCTGCCCTTTCTCTCTCTTTGCAGAGCAGTAACCACAGACCTAAACATCAGCTTGGTGAGTTTGCAACAAAACCCTCCGTGAAACTGAACTGAGAGAATTTCTGACGCTTTGCTACTCAGAGAAGCTGTGGATGCCCACGGCAGGGTGGGTGGAACTAGATGATCCCATCCAGCCCAAACCACACCAGCACTCTATGATTCTGTGCTCCATCTCTGAAAATGTTCTACACCAGGTTGGATAAGGCTTGGAGCAACCCGGTCTGATGGGAGGTGTCCCCGCCAGGCTTCTTGGAATGAAATGAGCTTTAAGGTCCCTTCCAATCCAAACCATTCCATCATTTTATGATTATATCAAGGTACTCTTCATTCTCTTTAAAAATCAAGCAACGAAAGTGCTACGCTACTACTTCTACCCTTCTCTGTAGCAGACAGGGGGCTCCAAACACCGCACACACTGGTTACTGTGTTTGAACACATCACTGCGCCCTCGGAGCGCACACTGAAAGCAGCAGGGCCGCTGCACTGGCTACTTGCTGGCTACCTCCGTCTTCTCACATCGATCTCCTGCAGGTACTGCTGCACGGTGGCCCGGACCTTCCTCTCGACAGCGCGGTGCATCCATTTGTCCTCGCCGCCCTTCTGCCAGTCGCAGACGTTGCGGTAGTGGAGGAACACCCGCAGCTCACGCTCGTGCTCACGCTGCTCCTCCTCCCGCACCCTCTCGGCCAAAATCGCCTCTTCTCTGATGTCCCTCTTGGAGGGCTTGGCTAACTGCGAGAGAAAGGAAACGGGGAAAACGTGGAGACCTCACAGCACCCTCCCAGAATGTGAAAGGGACTACAGAATCCAGAGAGGGAATTTTTATCAGGAACTGTAGTGACAGGACAAGGAGTAATAGGTACAAAGTGAAAGAGGGAAAATTTAGGCTAGGTGCAGGAAGAAATTCATCTTTGTGAGAGCGGTGAGGCACTGGCACAAGTTTCCCAGAGAAGCTGGGGCTGCTCCTGGATCACTGGAAGTGTCCAAGGCCAGGCTGGACAGGGCTTCGAGAAACCTGGGATAGAAGATGTCCCTGCTCATGGCAGGGGGTGGGACTGGATGAGCTTTAAGGTCCCTTCCAGCCCAAACCACCCATGGGTGAAAATACAAAGTATTAGTCTGCATCTTTTTCAGTTGAAATCATGACTGTGCAAGTACCCAATACCAAATGATGAGTTCACAGTAATTATGGAGTAATCACAAAATCAGAGGCTGGAAAAGAGCTACAAGATCATCAAGTCTAAGCTGTGCCCGATTCCCACCTTGTCACCCAGCCCTGAGCACTGAGTGCCACATCCAGTCCTTCCTTGGACACCTCCAGGGATGGGAAATCCAACACCTCCCCGGGAAGCCCCTTCCAAGACCTGCACGCCCCTTCTGTGAAGAAACTCCTCCTAAATTAGACAAGCCCTGCCTACACCTCCATCCCACACACCACCGGGCATCCTGGGGCCTTTAAACACAGCTCCAGGCTCCCTGGGACCTTCAAACACAGCACCGGGCTCCTCAGGACCTTCAAACACAGCATCGAGCTCCTCAGGACGCCCGAATACAGCACCGGGCATTCTGTGACTCCAAACACATCACCGGGCTCTCCGGCACCCCTCACATAGCACCGGGCACCCCGGGACCCCTCCCAGCTGCTCCCAGAGGGTTCCGCCTCCGCCAGCCCCGACCTCCACGTCCCCACAGCTCCCCGGAGCAGAGCAGCCCCGGCGTGGCCCCTCACCAGCGCCACATCGTACGGCGCGCAGCCGGTGAATTCCCGGCGTCTCTGGGTGTGAGAGCAGTGAGGGGGCTGGGGACGGGCCGGGGGCCGCGCCGCCATGGCGGGTGGAGGTACCGCCGTTGCTGAGGGGACGCGCGCGGGACGGAAGTGGCATCATGGCGGGGGGGGGCGCTGAGGGCCTGTCATGGCATGGTTGAGGAGCGGTGAGGGGCGGTCATGGCATGGCTGAGGGGCGGCCCTGGCTTGGCGGGGGAGCTGAGGGGCGGTCCTGGCAGGGCTGAGGGGTTGTCATGGCACGGCGGGGGCGGTGAGGGGCGGCTATGGCAGGGCAGGGACCCTGAGGAGTGGCCATGGCACGGCTGAGGGGCCGCCATGGCAGGGCAGGGACCCTGAGGAGGGGCCATGGCACGGCTGAGGGGCCGCCATGGCATGGTGGGGATGGTGAGGGATGGTCATGGCACGACTGGGAAGCTGAGAGGCGGTCATGGCATGGCAGGAGCGCTGAGGGGCGGCCATGGCACGACTGGGGAGCTGAGAGGCGGTCATGGCATGCCAGGAGTGCTGAGGGGCGGCCATGGCACGGCGGGGGCGCTGAGGGGCTGTCATGGCACGGCGGGAGTGCTGAGGGGCGGCCATGGCATGACTGGGGAGGTGAGAGGCGGTCATGGCACGACTGGGGAGCTGAGGGGCGGCCATGGCATGGCAGGAGCGCTGAGGGGCGGCCATGGCATGGTTGAGGAGCGGCCATGGCACGGCGGGAGCGCTGAGGGGCGGCCATGGCATGACTGGGGAGCTGAGAGGCGGTCATGGCACGACTGGGGAGTTGAGGGGCGGCCATGGCATGGCAGGAGCGCTGAGGGGCGGCCATGGCATGACTGGGGAGCTGAGAGGCGGTCATGGCACGGCGGGGGCGCTAAGGGGCGTCCCGAGGTCAGGGGATCGCTACGGCTGGAAGGGACCCTCCAGATCATCCAGCGTGTTATAAATTTACTCACCACAATCGGGTAGGTCAATCAATAAGGCAATTTATTCATTCGTTGATAAGGAACGGGCAGGCAGCGCCGGGGACACGGGGAGTCCGCGCTCCACCAACACGTCCGTCCTACCCGTGGTTACTGCCCCTTTTCTTGTTGGGCCGTGTCATGCCTACTGTGCTGGGCTACAAGTCCGAGCAAGCCGAACATGTTGGCTAGCACTCAAGCAACAGTGGCTACAAGCCCCCACCAGGTCTGGACAAGGCTCGAACATGTTGTCAGGGTACACTCCTAGCAAGCAGGTAACAGCAGTAACAAGCCTTTTCATGTTCACACAAGCCTGCATTTTCCTTATACGTAGAAAGTGGATACAATTTATAGTGGCAAAAATACATGACAGCAAAAAGCCAGCAATTCATAGCAAAGTGATTTTAACAAATACAAGGAAATTATATTTTCCTTTGTCTCATGTCCACCCTTTAAGTTCAGTGTTCTTGTTTATATTGATCCCATGGTGTGTTTTTATAATGATACGAATCACTAAAAACATCTCACAAGCGCCTGCCCTTACAAACCCAACACACTGCGGCACCCTGAGCGCAGCCCAGCGCCTCTCTGGCAAAATGCTGAACACCGAAAAGGTTCTGAAGAAGGGGTGTCCTGTAATCACAGAACCATAAAATGTCCTGAGTTGGAAGGGAGCCACAAGGGGCCCCGTCCGTGTCATGCGGGATTGTCAGGGACCCACAGGGTGCAGCCCCGGGTGCTGCTCTTGGGACGTGAGTGGGGACAGCTGGCACAGGAATGGAAAGGATTTAATTAAGGTTAATGAGCCTTATCTTATGGAGCCAGCCTGGCACAGCTGGGGCTGCTCACCTGCACAAGAGAAGGCTCCAGGGAGAGCTCAGAGCCCCTGCCAGGGCCTGAAGGGGCTCCAGGAGAGCTGCAGAGGGACTGGGGACAAGGCAGGCAGGGACAGCACACAGGCAATGGCTTCCAGTGCCAGAGGGCAGGGCTGGATGGGATCTTGGGAAGGAATTGCTGGCTGGGAGGGTGGGCAGGCCCTGGCACAGGGTCCCCAGAGCAGCTGTGGCTGCCCCTGGATCCCTGGCAGTGTCCAAGGCCAGGCTGGACAGGGCTTGGAGCAGCCTGGGACAGTGGAAGGTGTCCCTGCCATGGCAGGGATGGAATTGGATGGTGTTATAAATACATATTACGGTATTTTGCAAATATTAGGGTGGATACTGTATGTGTGGTGTTGAAATGGTTTTTAAGATACCATTTTCTAGGAGTAACATAGGCTGATAAAGTGTCTTTGTAGTAAATAAATACCTGCTTGGTTGGATAACACCCAGTGAGACACCTGCTACTGATACTCCAGCTACCAGCACCAACTGTCTGCAGAAATTGAAGACCACGGCCCAAATTAAGACTGATAAGAAAAATAAATTAAAACCACAGCCAAGAAACGCACATGCTCTAAAAAGGCAGACCCAAGGTGTGGTCATGTAAAACGGTTCTTGGAATATGGAAAATAGTTTGTAGAAAAGTTTGAAAATGTATGATGGGTCTATGAATATACAAGGGGCTGATGAATTTAAGGGGTGTCTCCAAAACAGCAGGGGTGCTCCTGGCTGAATGCCAAGCACCCAGCCATTATAACCTTTTGCTTTATTGTTTGTCTCTTTTTGTCTTTTATTAAACCTTTTAAAATCCACCAGGAAAGCGAACCTCGTTTTTCACAGATGGGCTTTAAGGTCCCTCCCAACCCAAACCCTTCTGTGACTCTGTGAAGCGGAGTTAATGACAACAGTGTGTTCCCTGTGCCTGCAGGTGATGGGAACCTGCATCTCCCGGGATAGGACTGGCACAGAGACCTCCTGCAGCACATCCTGCTGATGCCGGGCTCCCGACCTGCCTGGGCTGCAGGAAAACAGGACCTAAATCATTGGCTGTGCATCAGCAATTGCTTCAAGCTCATTGCCCTCAAAGGAGGCACAGGAAAAGGCTGTTGCTGAAGCTTTGAAGCTCTGGGACACACGCACATACACTGCCAAGAACTTTGCTTTCTTGCACATAATCACATTAGCTTGGCTGATAACAAGTTGAAAAAAATGATCCCAGGGAAGAAAGGTCAATGTTTAACCCGGCTGTAAAGCTTGTTCTCATCCAATTAAAACCCAGTGCAGTTACTTCTGGTGTCAATGATGGGATCTTTGCACAAACACAGTGGTTTGATACACAGGATTTACACACTGTGTTATATGTGTGTGTTATACCACCACGGTAGTGCTTGGAATGGAATTTTGAGTTTATTTCAGCAGAGACTTAATACTGTCATACTGTTGTGACTTAGTGTTTGAGATGTTTGTGAAAGAGAAACAACTTCACATCACTTTCCACCTGAAAACTTGTATTTGAGTGGAGGAGGGCTGAATTTCTTGGTATTTTATAGTTTTCCCTAGTATTTTATGGTGTGTTTAATGGGAAATGTCACCTTAGTCTTAAGATCTACACAAAACCAGCAATCTGTTTCATGTGTAATAGTGTACAAATGTGCAGCACTGCCATCTGATTGAAATCCAGAAATAAACAGGGATGTGTGGATTCTCTAAAGCCCCCATTCTTTCGTGAAGTCTCTGCACCAGCTCTGAGAACATTTCCTCCTGAAAAAGCTGGGTTCGTTCCAAAGGCATTGCAGATGGCTTGTGACTTTGAGTTTATTTTACATTAATGTTTGATGGAAAAACAGATTCTCCTTAACTTAGATGCCTAAGAGGACCCAGGTCACTGGCTTTCCTCACTGGGAATGTGTATGGAATATAGGATATACATAGGATGTGGTCTGTCCTTGATTGTCTGGATTGAATTCTCCTTCATGGAACCTCCCTTTAAGGAACAGCCCGTAAACATCATATATTCACAGAACCACAGAATCCCAGGATGGTTTGGGTGGGAAGGGACCTTAAAGCCTGTCCCATTCTACTATTTCATGATCAGGGACACCTTGCACTATCCTAGAGTGCTCCAAGCCCCGTTGGCAGGAGAGAGGGGCTGGGAAGGTGTGGAAGAAGGACAGCACGTGCTGGTGGATGGAGCAACTCAGCAGACCAGAGCCCACTTTCAGGAGCAAAATCTGCAGTGGAAAAATCTGGCGAGGACAGTAGGGCCTTTCTGTTCTTCAAGGAAGTATGAGAAATTGATTGCTATCAACTGATGGACAATTCCCTCTTTGTGCAAAAGAAACTTTCAACTTTTTCTCCCAGAAGGAAAACTATTTCAAGGAACCAAAGTTATCCTCGCCTCTCGTAAAAGATAATTTTCCCTAAAATGGCTGCCTGTTCTCTCTGTCTGGGTTTGTGGTGGCTACATGAGCCAGTGCTTGGGCACGCCAGGCCCCTTCCCTCTGCAGGATCAAATGTCCTTCTGTTCTGCAGATGCCCCTGGCTTCCCAGGCTGGGGCTTTCAGAAGTTGCCAGTTCCTCTCTGGTTCTGAATCCCCCTGAGGTTTTCTCATTGGTCACGCTCCATGCCATCTCAGGTTCCTCCAGCCAGGCTTTCTTGTGGTTCTTCCTCCAGGCAGTCTTCAAAATACTTGCTTAGGGAAACCATGACTCT